TATAAATTAATCTGTTCTGTGACAATGGAATTATGTAACCGTTTTTTTTCTTTAGCACTGACAGTTTTAGTGACAAATTTGGGGATCCTACATACACTTGATGGCAAATGTTCCAATGAGGTAAAAGTTAAAAGTCATTACAGTTTTCTTTTGTAGATTTTTTGTTTTTGGTAATTTTAATTTTAATTCACTAACATCAGTGAGGATTTTTAACCTATGTAATGTTGCCTTTTCTACTAAAGTTTCTGGTCAACTTCTTTTCTGATTTAATTAGTCAGCAAAGCCGATTTTTACTCTCATTTCGTGTTTGACAAGCATTGCCAATCATCTGCTTCAACAATAAACCAGATGTTTGGGTCTTTATCTACTATCAAACTACAAGGTAAACAGAATATTGTTCTTACGTGGTGGTTCTTCTTCCTGTGGTTCTACTCTCTCCTCCTTGGCTGGAAGTGGCTCCTCTGGAGTTTTGTAAGGAGAGGATGAAACAGCGGTCTTTGCCAATCTACTTTGAGGATCCTCCCTGAAAATACAACAACAGTGTATTTCTAACACAGTTTCTGACTGAGAATATATTTGTAAAACATTCTAACTGGAAGGTGTGTACTGTTTTCTTTAAGTACCACTTAGTTTGATGTTTTGTTATTTAATGCAAAAATATTCATACAGATCATTGGTTTCCAAACACTGGACTACACTGACTTTCACTGCATGGACCAAACACACTTGTGTAGACAATTTCCATTGTTTTGGTGAACTATCCATTTAAATGTCCAAAGACTTTTTTGGAGCCATTGTATTATTATTATTATTATTATTATGTGTTGAACGTATCAGGAGCTGATCTTCAAGCGGTCCTCACCTGGCGTTCTCTCGTGCTACATCATTGGAAGAGTGTGAGGAGAGGTCAGACTGGCGTGACCTTTGGTCATCTTGAGGTGAGTAGGAATGGTACGACTCAATCTCCGAAATATCTGAAAGAAACAAAAGTCTACAATGATCTGAAGGATCATGTGACACTGAATAAATGATCACAGGAATATATTACATTTTAAAATATGATATAGATATAATCATTTTTCACAATATTACTGCATTTTTTTATCAAATAAATGCAACCTTTGTGAGCACAAAAGACTTTCAGAAAAAATATAAAAATCTTACCAACCCCAAACTTTCAAATGTTTATATATATA